GCAGACCCAGGCCGCGGGTCCTGTCCCGGCTGCGCGGAGGAGTGGCCCTGCACGCCCGCCCGCCTGGGCTTCTGTGATTGCCCACCTCACTGATGCCTCTGGCCGGAGCGAGGCCCTGAAGCAGACCCCGAGATGGAGTTTCCTGTGCAGGGGGCTTATTGGGAGGTGGGGGCGAGGGGCGCAGGCCTGGGCAGGCAGAGAAGTGGGCATCGATGCAGACCCACAGGGGCCGCAGCCCATCCGGGACTGCCGGAGCTGACGGCCCTGCGGAGTTTTACAAAATTAAGATCAAGGTGCCGGGTCTTGGTACCAGATGTTAGTCAGTCACCAGTCACAGCTGTCCCTGGAGAGGGGTGTGGCCTGGGGGAGGCGGCTCTTTCCTGACTAGGACCTCAGCCTTGAGCAGTCGGCAGCCTTAGGAGAATGAAGGGGGATCTGGGCAGCCCAACGCCATCCCAGAGCAAGTCGCTCCTCCTCTCTGGGCCTCAGTTTTCTCATCTGTAAATTGGGATGATAATAGACCCGCCCTTAGGGAGTCTGAGAATTATGTGAGGTTATTGTGTGTAGGGCACTTAAAGTGTCGTTTAAGGCAGGGATGACATTCCCAAGATAAAGGGGCAGTTTCTCTGGCAACCAGAGAAACTGCTGGTACCACCCACACGTCCTTGTGTCTGGGCTTCCTCCCTGGAGGCTGTGTGATGATGCCCTGCAGCCTGTGAGCTGGGCCCCTCATGGGCATCCTGTCTCCTTACGCCCCCGACAGCTTTGGGATCAGAGGAGGATCCAGAGACACAGAGAGGTTAAGGAACTTGACCCAAATCACACAGCCCAGGGCACGCGGGCACCGGAACCCAAGCTCTTAACCTCTAAGGCATTTCGACCTCTAAGGGTGGGAAGGCAGGACGGGAGCAGCCATCACAAGATGAGAAGGGCTGTCCTTGCCGGGCTGAGCTAAGCGTTAGGCCCTGTCACCGTCCTCATGCCCACGTGCCTGCCAGGGGGCAGCAGTGGGCCGCTCAGAGTCTGCGGGTGGAGGCATGCCCTGCCCTGACACTCCCCACCCCGCAGGTACACAGTGATGCAGCGCTGCTGGGCAGCGGACCCCGCGGCGCGCCCCACCTTTGGGACGCTGGTGGGAGAAGTGGAGCAGGTGGCCGCGGCCCTGCACGGGGACCACTACGTGCAGCTGACCGTGGCCTACGTGAACCTGGGCCTCGCCGCCTCCAACGAGCCCATGTCCCCGGAACTGCCGCTGTCCCCACGTGTGCACGGGAGCACCAGCCGGCCTCGGCCCCTCTCAGAGCCACCGAGGCCCACGTGACCTCGGCCCCAAGCAGGCCCCGAGCGCCTGGACCTGCATCACCTCGCCGGGGAGTTAACCCCAGGCCGCGCCAAGGGGGTGGCCCCAGCTGCCCACTGCTCTGTTCCTGACCCTTAACCTTCAGGCTCTAGCAGGGGACAAGGCACACGGGCCCCTCATGCCACAGAGGGAGCCATTGCGGGTGATCCTTGAGCACTTACGGAGCGCCTGCTGCGTGCCTGGCCTCTGGGCGCAGGGGACTCAACTGTGACACTGGCCCATGAAGCAGTCAATGAATGACTTTAAGCATAAATTCTGGTAAATGCTCTGAAAGAAAAAGACAGGTGGCCCTGGCCCGTGTGGCTCAGGTGGTTGAACGTCATCCCGTGTACCAAGAGGTTGCTGGTTCAATTCCTGGTCAGGACACATGCCTGGGGTTGCAGGCTCAATCCCCAGTAGGGGGCGTGCAGGAGGCAGCCAATTGATGTTTCTCTCTCGTATTGGTGTTTCTCCCCCCCTCTCTAAAATCAATAAATATATATATATGTATATTTAAAAAAACAAGCAAACCAGGTGGCTTTGGGGGAATGGAACACAGCATTAGATGGACAGGTGAAAACAGCCCTGGCTGGTGTGGCTCAGTGGATAGAGCGTCAGCCTGCAGACTGAAGGGGCCCAGCTTTGATTCTGGTCAAGGGCACATGCGGGGTTGTGGGCTCGATCCCCGGTGTGGGGTGTGCAGGAGGCAGCCGATCAATGATTCTCTCCTCATGGATGTTTCTATCCCTTTCTCTCTGAAATCAATAAAAATGTATTGAATAAAGGTGAGTGCAGAGGCGAGGGAGGTCTGAGCAGGTGATGTTCTGGCTAAGGCCCTGCCAAGTGGAAGCTGTGCAGAAGCAGAGCTGGAAGAGAGACCCTGAGGCTGGGAAGGAGCTGGGTCAGGGAGAAGCCTCCAGAGAACAGGAGGGTAGCGAGACTCGGACCCAGGGTGCAGGGCCCGGGGGACTCGGGTGGACCCCAGAGGGCAGAGGAGCTCCCAGGACTGCAGCAGCCAGGATGGCTGGCCCCGCCCCCGGCTCAGCCCCT